AAGGGGCGGGGGGGGGGCGAATTACATTCCGCGGGGCAGGCCTTCCATTAAACGACGCCTCGAGTGAATCGCTCGAACGCTGATTTATTTATGATACGTACGCGCGAGCGAACGCACTTTAAGCTCGTGCGAAACGCAGCGCGCGTAACACACCGGCGCTACTGTATGCGGGCGCGCTCGATTTGCGCTCAGCGGTGATCCTCGCAACGTTACATTACAGCCCGATAAGTGACGTCCCCGTGACCGTAATTCACGGGAAATGACAGATTTTATTGGCGGGCGGGCTGTAAAACGGCCGATAATTAGCCGGCCGGTAATCAGTATCGTTCAGCCGGCGGCTCGGTGTATCGTTGAGAAAGACCCGGCGGACGTACGATTTCCATATATCGTCCGATCCGATCTGCGTGCCTCCTGTCCTTCGATCGGCCGCTATTTCTCATCGGGTTAATAATTTTCCACGAACGACGACGATGGCTAGATTCGTATCGGCTACGACAGCGGCGGCGGCTACAGCGGCAGCGGCGACTATCCGCAAAGTCACCTGACTTGTTTTTCTGCATGACAGAAAGCGTCGCCCGAGGAAACGTATCACGCGTCACGGATCATCTGCGATTTTACATTGACACGTAGGCTTAATAGAGCGAACACCGTGTGTATTCATATTGAACGGCACGCCTGCGCGCCGGATAATCATGCGATCTCCCGGTCAATCGCGGTAATTACGAATCACAGGCCGCTTCAGACGACAAACGGCGAATAAAGCTTCGGGACGGGAAATGCGAGAGAGAGTGAGGGGGGAGAGATTGGTGAAAAAGTTAATAAATATTTCACGGGCGTGCGTGCGTAATAACCGCTTGAAAAATCACCGACGGCCTTAAATAAACCGAGCTCGACGTTTAACGCGTATCCGTCCGAGATCCAATTTACCGCTCGCATGTATAATCCTCAATCATCCGACCGACACAGTGAGATCGCGCATTAATTAATCAAAATAGGTCAGCATTATTTGCCGAATGAAAACCCGCTATTTGCGCGTTTGCGCACACACCCTGGCCGCCCGATGCGGAAAAAAACGGGCTCATTCTTACGTCATTATGTTGTTACACCTTTCGGGTTAATGATAACCTCGACGACGGGGCGGGGGTATATCAGCGTGTTCGACGAGTTACACATCAAATCGAGAGTCAACAAATTACAGCGCCGGTTAATGAGAGACCCGTTTCGACTTTGAAGAGAGCCGCGTAATTATTAAATCGTTAAGGTGGGTTCCTTACACGGACAGGTACATCGGCCTTCGCGAGAGCAGGACTGGTCGATATTTAAATTCACCGATTTGGACGAAACGCGATAGTCCGCGATGTATCGGCGGAAATGGTACGTTGGGAAAAAGATTTTCTCAAATTTAATCAATTTTATCGCATCCAAACAAATTTCCTCATCGGTGTGCTCCGATGAAAACTAATGTTACGATTAATAAGTACGAAGTCTTGTACGTAGTCTTCGTCGCTTTATTTGTGAATCGATGAGCGATAATTAAAACGTGGAGAAAATATCTTTACGTTTTCCCCGTAGAAAAATACGAAATAATTAAATCATATCGTTTGTATAAATAAAACGACTTATAACGTTGAGAAATATACAGTGCGAGTATAAACTCAAGTAATTTAATATATAATGGGAATAATATTATCCTGTTTCGTTTAATTACTTAACTCGGACGATACTCGTAAGTAGCCGCAAAAATGTCCACTGTCTCATTTAAATAAGCTAATATGCGCAAAGCTATCGTACCATGAATTTTTCGTATTTTCTACGCATCTCTCCCGCCTCGCCATAGTGCTTTGTGTCCTTAATTAAAAGTTACGCGCATATTAATACGTAACTAACGATCGTGTTATTTATCCTCTAAGCGTATCTCTCATTCCCGCCATTTATTTACGAACAACCACCATTGTGTTGGTATTTGAATTTATGCGGAAACATCTTTTATGAATTCTTTTTTTCCGTAGAGCAAAATATTACAGTCCGTAAAAAAATCTCGGAATTTAATTCTCTGAAATTGTTGAAACGGTAAAAGCGCCCTCCCTAAATACGGCAGCTCAGATATTCGACGTATAAAAACCCATTTTAACACGACGGACCTACTAAATTTCATAAAAAAAAAGAAAATAAGAAAACAAAAATACATATTATATAGTTGTTATTATTGCACTGAGGTTCGCCTCGCCTCGATACTTCGATCAATCTCCTTCCGAAATTCATGCAGCTTTTACGACACGGTCTTTTTTCGTCTCTGAAAGAATACGATGACATCACAAAGGCCCGCATGCGGATGATTCCGGTGAATGGACGTGATTAATTTCGCAGGGTAAATAACCTTTTTGTACTACTCCGATCCATCACTTGACGAACAATGCGCGCGTATCCTGGTACCGGCGCCTTGCCTGCTTCATTCTTATAGCCGCGTAGCCGTAGCGTAAATCACATATAAATATTTGTCCGACAATACGTCCATTGACAGTTCGTTCGATAACGCGCGATGGGCGCATTATTGGAGATTTTTAATTGCATAAATCAGCGGCGGAATCGCGGCTGTTGCCTGCATAAATATATTTCTCCTCTCGCTTCGTTCTTATTCTGTAAAATGCGAGTAAAATATCGCAATATGAAGCGTACACGATGGCTGTCGCGCGGAATAGAAATTTATTATGCCGGCCGTTTAATTTATTATCCGAGCTGCTTACGGTGAGACTTACGGAAAGGAACAAAAAAAAAACAGGCGCATTACGGATTTAATAACTCGATAACTCTCCGGTCACGTGGGTGTAATCGGTTTGACGCGATCGTATTCGCGAGCGCGAACAGGACTTTTTTTCCCCAAATCGTCCAATCACGAAAGTGGATTGCACGACGGCGTTTAACGCCACGACGCCGATTTCGCTGTCGTTCGTGTGACGGCGACAGTGACGGAATTTCGTTTGACAGAAATCTCCCGCGGCCAGTCGATATTAATTACGTTTTCTCGCGTTTATTGTTATAAACGAGAACGTGTTGCGGCGAATGCATGTAATTCGAGAACCGACAAGCCGTGAAGCACTTGAAAGGCGTAAGATTAATGGCAGCCCCTCCAGCTAACCGGGCGCTTTTTGCAGCGCGATGAGAATCGTTTCGCGTCCGAAAAAACAGCTACTTATCAGCATAACAATCGCGAGATCATTCGTGTCATGCGATTCGGGCCCGGATGTTGCCGTGATAATTATGTCAACGTCGGAAAGATTCGACGGTATTAAGCGGTAGTAAGCGCCGACACGCTCGTGGGGATTGACCTTCCGCGTTTCTCGCGTTTTCAGTCTCGTTTCGCGCTATTTTCGCGTGTGATTACACTGAAAAACGTGTCATCGTTCAAATAATATTTACTTGATCCAAGTAAAATGGTTACTCCAACATTCTTGAGTAAATATTTCATACACGTAGAAATATAATTCTCTATATACAAATATATTTCTTTCGTATAAGTAGACATTTACTTGTTGAATTTTTTGCGACAAATATTAAATTCATAATGTTGATAATATCAGAATTTATTTTTAGATAATAAATTACTCCGAACCGAAAAATCTAAATTTAAAAATACCAGGTTCCTTCAGTGGAAAAAAGTATTATATAATTTTAACAAATACTCTCTGAAATTTAGAAACATTTTACATTTACATTCACTTACAAATTATGGTGTTATTGCATTCAAATAAATATTTACTACAAACCATTCAAATATGTTTAAATTAATAAAAATATTACGTGATTTATAAAAAGCTGAAAAACAGGTGATTACTTGATTCCAGCATTTTTTTCCCGCATATCCACGCGTCCTGATGTTCGTTGAAAATTCGATCCCGAAGCCTCTCGCTATTCTCGTTATCTGTTTTCTTAGTTACTGGTTTCTCGTTTTTGTTCCTCCCTCTCTCTCTCTCCCTCCCTCCCTCTCACCCTCCTTCCTATCCCTCTCTCTTTCTCTCTTGCTTGCGAGCGCGATGCGAATAAACATTTATCCGGAGAAGTACCACCCACTTCCGGCCGAACGTCAATTAGAGACATGTGTAAGGGCTGGGCGCGGAATGCGTGTTTACTCGTCGCAGATTCTCATCATCCTCCAACGACACTCGAGTAGTCGTTAGTCTCTACGCCGGTGTCCTCTCGTTCTATACAGCATATTACAGGCGCGACAACTCAATCGAGATGACGCGAAGCGCTTTAAAACTTACCTGCCTACGCCCCGCTCTTATTAATATTCCACGGTTGTACCGTAAGTGGCTACGTCTGTTGCACCGACGTCGAACGCGCATCGTCGAGTGTGCAATTACGCCGATGATTATAATTGACGCGTCGCGACGCCTCGCGCTCACTTCGGAAATAAAAGCGAATTCAAGACGGCATCAATTAAGACTTTCAACGCCGCGTTGAACTACGTGGCGTGAATTATAACGCCATTGTTCTCCGCACGGTATCGTAATGCCGCGCGGTCGACGACGCGTTACGACGACGTCACTCATAATGATCCCGGGCAGGATTGAATAAACTAACTCTTTTTTTCAAGTTAAGTTAGAAGTTCGTGGCCTATACAATTAATTTAATTAAATTAAAAGTAACCTAAACAAAAACTAATTAGGAGTTGAATTAAAATTAAATTAACTTATTAAAGTTACAATTTAATCATGCAAAACTACATATATGTAGTTTAGGAGAAGAATAGTTAACTTCTAACTTCTAATTTAAATTACTGTACCCAACCTTGGATTCCGGTACACGGAAAAAAGGAATTATCCATATTATACGCAACTAAAATTTAGTTATCAGATCTAGTTTTTAGCTATAGGAGCTAAATTAACTAAATTTCAGTTATACTATACAGGCAGTTAATTTTTACCTATGGAAGCTAATTTTTAACCGTGGGAGCTAATTCTTTTTTCCGTGTACAATTGGTAAAATTTCTACCGGGGACGTTAAACTTTACAATCGCTAAAGTACCGGGGCGGTCAATATTGCCAATAAATAAATCATATAAAAATAACATATCAGAAATAATTTCCTGCTCTAAGGATAAAATACACGGGACAAAATCCACAGATTTTGTGCTCTTTTCGCGTATTCTCGCTTAAAGTATCGCGACGGAGCGACTGAACGTAATCAAACGAACACCGGTTGCGAATCTTCCCGCTCCTCGAAACTGCAACACGACTTACGGCCATTTCGATCCGATTGTTGCAACGTGCGTTCTCCGCCGCCCTGATATCGAGCGGATTAGAAAACGATGCCGACAAACGCTCTCGCGGTATCGATAGATGTCAATCCGTTCGCTCGTACACGCGGAAACCCACTTGAGCGCCGCTTGACAGATACTCCCGCGAGGCTAATTACCGATTCCACGTCGCATTAATGAACTTGCTTTGACTTACCCCCACTCGACATCATGCCGGCTCCGGGGCCTTCCCTGGGCTTTCACGAGCGCTCCGCCGCTTCCACTGGGAAGAACGCAAGCCACTCGGTGCGGATTAAGCCGGCGTGCAGCTTGTGCGACATGCGTCGAATATATTACGAAGCTGCGGACTAGTCGATATCATACCGAGAACGGCCGACGGAAAAAAATATACAAATCACGGACTGTCCTTGCCGCGCGGGCGGCCTCCTCGAGCGTCGTGCTCTCGAAGGTACCGATTAAAAATTAAAATTCGCTGACGTTAGTTACTGCTACGTTCGATCGATCATTCGGCGAGGATTAACCTGCGAACGACGAGACGAATGCAAATGATGACGCTCGCGGTCGGCGCGACGATCGTAACTTTAAGCGATTTAGCATAATACCGAAGTTTCCCCGACGCGACAACGTCATCGCGTTCGCGACGTTTCCGAGCGACACGGCCGGGAAACACCGCGAACTGTGAATTCCATTGTCCGCGAAGGATGTCAGAGGTATTCATATTCATATTCCGCCGAGAGAGAGAACGGCCCCGCGGCTCGGCTGGAAAAATTCAGCGACTCACTTCGGAGCCTCCATCATCGGCACGGTCGAACGAATTCCAATTAACGTAACTACCAGGGAGCGTCGCCGTGAAACGATCTCGAAGCAGGCCGCATGGGACGATCGCCGTACGTGAAACGCGTCGCATTTGAGCGTAGGGCTTCTCCGCTACGCGAGTCGATCCCGTCTCTCACCGGCGAAGCCCTCGACGGGCAGGGCGAAACGTACGGCGATAAAAGTGCCTCAACGTCGTCATTCTAGCAGGGAGGAGGAGAGATAACATTGCCCCGTCTCGCCTACCTACCGACCTTCTTTAACATTTCCCTCCCCCCCCCCCCCCCCC